TTCACGGTGTGTGTGTTCACTGCTGTGTGTGTGCACTTAGGATGGGTTAAATGCAGAGCACTAATTCCTAGTATGGGTAACCATACCTGGCCACATGTCACGTCACTCACTCACTCACTCTACTTCAACAGCTTCATCTCTATCTTCCTTTTACCAATTACTTTCGTCTTTTTTCCTCTCCAGATGAAAGCACGTCCTGTAGAGTGGACACTACTATCATCCAGAGACGCCTGCCTATATTACATAAGTACCTTAACTCGGACACCGAGCGGCAGCTGCAAGCACTTTATGCTCTTCAGTCTTTGATTGTCGCCCTGGATCAACCTCCCAGTATGTAGCAGATGAAAATAAAGATGCCAAACTGAACGAAAGATTTCTAGGATTGTAATTTTTCTCTACTTCTATCCACAGATCTACTCCGAATGTTTTTCGACTGTCTTTACGATGAGGACGTTATTTCGGAGGACGCTTTCTATCAGTGGGAAACGAGTAAAGACCCAGCGGAACAGCAGGGAAAAGGTGTAGCACTGAAGTCTGTCACCGCTTTCTTCACCTGGTTACGCGAGGCGGAGGAGGAGTCTGAGGATAATTGACACAAGCAGGTGGCCGACGCCCAGAGGCCCCCTACTGACACAAACAAAAAATGCATCCAGACTAAAAACAGGTCTAGCCATAGACAGACTTACTCCTGCAGACACAGGAACTTTGACTTTGAAACGCTGGCCAACTTGAGCTGGAACTCTCTACGCAATGGAGAAAACACTAAATACTTGTATCATATATATAGAAAATATTTTTTAAGTTTGACTTTTTGTTTCTTTTGTTACTTTTAAAAGAAGAGACTTAAAATAGGTTCTGAATTCTTTAATTTATTATTTTTTTAAGAGACTGCAAGTATGGAGTTCTATTTAACATTTGCAGGCAAAAAGAACATTGTTAGAAATTACAGAATAAACATGTATCATAACAATATTAATTTTGTTTAAATGTGTCAGCAGCCTCCCTGGATTCATGTGATTGACCTTAAAGCAAATAAAATATTTCCTCAGAAATAAATAAATGCATACATTTTTGGCTCGAGGTGGGGCTGGTCCAGGATCGGCTAATGTTGCTGAAGTTTCAGGCTGTTTTGAGAAACACCCGCCACTGGTTCTTCTGCTTCGGCTTTTGCTCAACAGACTTTCCAAGTAACATGGCAAACACAGTAAAAATGAATATGCATCCTGAGTGGAATGAAAAGAATTCAGACTTCAACATCAAATAGCTGTATGCATTAAGGTGAAGTGCAAACACTAATGCAAGTCAGAACATTGCCAGGATTGCTCAGTGTACTTGTGATGAAGAACTACAGAGGAAATGTAAAGCTTGTAAATACATTAAAGTGAAAAAATGAGATTTAAAAATTGCCATGATGGTGTGCTGTTTGTTTTTGCAGGGAAAATTTACAGGATTTTGCTAATATGCCAGTTAATCTCTGCATCCTGACATGTGGATGTCTATCTTGAACAGATTATTTGCTGTTTTTACCTCATTTGTTTTCAAGGACAAAGGATTGTAAAAAACAAAACAAAAAAAAACAATGAATACAAAGTATAATAACCTTAATAAGTCTTTAATAAACATATCAGCAGTTCAGATATATTTAAATGTGAATTATATGTTTTAGGATATTTTATTTGCATTTTTTTTTTACTTAATTTCCAAATTGACTGTAAAGCATTAGGTAATGCAAGCAATTTTATTAATGTTAAGTTATAGTTTAATTAATCATAGAGGGTGATCAATATTTGTAACTAATTTTTTTCTAATATCATAAAAAATAATCTTGTGTAAAAAATTTAACGAAAACAACCAGTCAGGGACTTTTACTTTAAGTTAGCCTGAGACTTTTAATTTATCAGGTTTATTCCCACAACTCCACCGTACGTGTCCTTTCTCTCAAAGTACTGCCCACACTCCAGTCCAGTAGGTGGAGATAAATGCACCTTTAAGTTGGTTTGCCAACCGCCAATAAAATTTAAAAGAAGAAGAAGACTCCACCGTACGTCGTGACGTCAGACGTACAGAGCGTGTGCGCTCACCTCCTGAAGTCGCGAATTGGTAAGTCGTTAATTAAATGCAACTTTAAAATGAATGAAACTCCATTTATATAGTAATTGTTGCTTACTTCAAGCCTTACTTCAAAAACAGACATAAACCACCTTTAAAATTATACACTGCTACCTATATCACGTTACGTGCAAATTTACCATAACAATGCACTAACAGTGGTTCTCAAACCTGTCCTGGAGTACACCCAGCCCTGCATATTTTGTATGTCTCCCTCATCTATCGCACCTGATTCAACTCATCAGCTCATTAGTGGAGACTGCAAGACCTGAAGTGGGTGTGTCAGATATAGGGAGACATACAAAATGTGCAGTGTTGGGGTACATCATGAAGAGGTTTGAGAACCACTGCACTAGAATAAACAACAATGGGTCTGTTTTGAATCTAAGTTGCCTACCTAGACAACATTTTGCGTATCATAGTATGTTGTCTAGGTGGGCAGCTCATGAGGTTTTCAAACACAAGACTACCTGCAATCTGAGCGTTTCTGTCTTGCTTCGTTCACTTGCAGTCATCAAGCAGCAAAGATGTTCCGGCCGAAGCCCACACTGAAGGACAGACAGCACCTTTACAAGCTGATCATCAGCCAGCTGCTGTATGACGGCTACACCACCATCGCCAACAGCCTGATCAGTGAGGTGAAGCCTCCGAGTGTGGTGTCTCCATCAGAGCAGCTCATGCAGCTGGCCAAGATGGGTATGACTCCAGTCTATACAAATTTGTCAGTTTCTGACACTTTTAGCGTTTAATATTTTTATTTGTACTGTATAATTGCCAAGTAACAGAATAAACTAAACCAGTGCCTATTAAGTACTTGCATATATATATATATATATTTTTTTTTTTTTTCTTTTGCCACAAAGGATTCAACATTTGCAAGCAAAAGGACAATAAACAAGAGGGTTATAATAGATGAAATCATATTATATTCTGAGTATTACATCAAAAAAGATTTTAGAGTTCTTTAAAGAATTTCTGCAAGGAATAGTAATAAAATAATTACAAACTTAATGTGAAGAGGGTGTATTTTCAAACAATCGGCAAAAACACAAGTTTAGGGATAAATTCCTCTTACCAAAATCAGAAAAGTCAATCCAAAACACTTTGCAACATACACAATTCCAAAATAAGTGAGTAATTGTTTCTTCAAAGTGATGGCAAAAAGAGCAGTTGTGTCAGTAAACTGCAAGCTTATGATTTACTGGCTCACAAATGTGAATAATTTGAAAAGATGAAATTTTTCTCGAAGAAGCCAGAAAAGAACTTTAATCTGATTTCATAGGAATGGAGAACGATGACAGTGCGGTACAGTACGCCATTGGCCGCTCGGAGACCGTGGCGCCCGGTGTGGGCATCGACATGGAGTTTGATGCAGACGTGCAGACCATGTCCCCAGAAGCATCGGAGTACGAGACCTGCTATGTGACGTCTCATAAGGGTCCATGCCGTGTGGCCACCTACAGCCGTGATGGGCAGCTCATAGCGACTGGCTCCGCCGACGCCTCCATTAAGATCCTGGATACTGAGCGCATGCTGGCCAAAAGTGCCATGCCGCTGGAGGTCAGTGCCACCCTGAAGTCGACGTGGTTTTCTGTTGATTGCGGTTGAGTTGATTTTCCTTTTTTTTTTTTCTTCCTTATCTCTATATAGATATTATTGTGAACAATTCATCTAGGCATATGCCTAATTTTAAAAAAAATTGTGCCTCCACTTTGGAGTTTAAAGGCATAGTAAGTGATTTTTCAAAACACTTTATAAAACTGATTCAGGCCGAATCGCAAAACAAACTTGTAGCCAATCAGCAATAAGGGGCGTGTCTACTCGTGATGTGGATGAGAGCGCGTTCAGTGCATGGGACGGACATTAGCCGAGCCGAGCGACAGAGAGATAGAGATGGCGGATAAAAAACAAAAGAGGAAAACGTCTGCGGAACGATAAGGCAAGAAGTAGGACCCGTGTAAATATCGGATCAGCTTTCCAGCGCTGGAGAGAACTCAAGGAGCGGAGGCCTGCGATCGGACGCCGAGGTTGCTTTGTTTCTTCTCAATAGGTGAGTAACACCGTGTCTACAACAGCTAAAGTCTGCCTACACTGGACGCAATCAAACGACCGTTGAAAACCATTTGAAATCGGTGTCAGCACGTCATAAATAGAACCCGGCAGCAGCTTTCTGTCGGGGATTTGTTGCGCCGCACCGCTCACGTCCGTAGACACGGTGTAACATTGGCTTTGCTTTGTTTCACAGAACTAATCGATGCCTGGGTTGCATACATATATGTGGGGCGGAGCTATCAAAATAGGGGCAAGACCCTTTTGGGGTAGGGGCGTGTTTGTTTTGGTGATTTCAAATATCAACATTGGCTACCAGAAATCACTCACTCTGCCTTTAATACCCACACCTCAAAATCCAATCAACATCAATGCAGAACCAAGTTCCTGCCCTACATTTTTTCTTTTTTGATAATGCTTCACTTGGATGTACATCACAATTCGGAAGAAAAAAATCTGTCTGTTTCATAGCGACTTCCGGGTATGTAGTTTATTCAAGTTGGACAACCTGACTGTGCAATTCTGCTTTATGATTTAGGTGATGATGAACGAAACGGCCCAGCAGAACATGGAGAACCACCCTGTAATCAGAACCTTGTATGATCATGTGGATGAGGTCACATGCCTGTCTTTTCACCCGACCGAACAGATCCTGGCCTCTGGCTCTCGTGATTACACTCTCAAACTCTTTGATTATTCAAAGCCGTCAGCAAAAAGAGCCTTCAAGCACATACAGGTATAAAATCATGCCTCTAAATTAGTTTGAAAAGGTAAACATTTATAATAAGCTGGAGTTTAAAAGGTCATTTGTGGCCCTTCATTTATTGGAGAAGGTTGCATGGATTTCTTTGGAATGATTCTCCCTTTCCTTTTCTACAGGAAGCTGAAATGTTGCGCTCCATCTCTTTCCATCCGTCTGGGGATTTCTTACTAGTTGGCACGCAGCATCCAACCTTGCGTCTTTATGACGTCAACACTTTCCAGTGTTTTGTGTCCTGCAACCCTTTGGATCAGCACACAGACACCATCTGCGGAGTCTGTTACAATCCCAGCGCTAACAGCTACGTTACCTGTAGCACAGACGGCAGCATCAAGTTATGGGATGGAGTGTCGAACCGGTGCGTGACCACTTTTGAGAAAGCCCACGACGGCGCTGAGGTCTGCTCGGCCGTCTTCTCCAAAAACTCCAAGTATATCCTGTCCAGCGGGAAGGATTCTGTTGCTAAACTCTGGGAAATTTCCACAGGCCGAACTCTGGTCAAGTACACAGGTAAGATGGAGAATTCTGGGTAGGGTTAGATTATGGATTACACAGGCCAGATGAGGAATTGTGATTAAAGGTGGGGAAAAAGGTGTAGATTTTCTATTTTAAGCAATTCAATATCAGTTCTTAAAATCTATTCTGTTCTGTTGCTGCTGAATCTTCATTGGTGAAATAAAGAATCTTTTACCTCAGAAGTTACTGTTAATTTGCAGTCAGTATTCAGATTCAATAGAAGACAGTGTACTGCAACATAATATCAAGAAAGGTTTGTTCTATTAATTTGTCTGATTTCTGGACAAATTACTCGACTCGATTGTAAAGCTTGACCAGTGCAGTCTGATTCAAATTACTCTTATGAGTCAGTTCTTTATTTTGAATTTTAAAAAACACAGTCATCGTAACCAGTATATTCTAATAATCCTGGACAAATGACTCTTATGATTCTTTTTAGTGAAGTAAAAATGTATAGCATGACCGTTGTAGTTCAATTAATGAGCAAATTACTCTTATTTGTCAGTTCTTTACAGTGAATCAAAAACACAGCATAAACGGTGAGACCTGATTGCAGGACAAATGACTCTTATGAACCAGTTCTTTTTAGTTTATCAAAAACATAAAAAGGACTGTCTCATCAGTATCATTTGCTTGTGAATTGAAAAAAAAACATGCAGCATGACCAGTAAAGTCTGATTCCTGGACAAATAACTCTTATGAACTGATTTATTCAAACCAGTGTAGCCCAGTTCACAAGAAAATGACTCTTATGAACCGACTTCAGAAGCACACATCACAACCAGTGCAGCCCAATTTCGGAAACGCGTGACTCCTATGAGTCGGTTTGAATCAGTCTGAAACATTGCCTTGTATAATTTACATCATTAACTGGGAAAGAATTAATTTTTTTGTAAGCAAAATATACTGAAATGAATCTGAATCTAACCAAATTTAGAGCCTGAGAATCTGAATCAAATTGAATCCGAAAAATCTGTGTATGTTATAAGCATCTAGAAGTGGAACAATTAATTTTATAATATGTATAAAAAAAAATGTGCAATTAGTAGTTAATATTATCTTGGAACTTCCATTGGTCAATTTGGGGTGAATAAATCAAAACCTTGACATATATATCATCACGCCACCTGTCCAGTGTTTTAAACTGCGGCTCACGCACGCTGCTGCCTGCTCACCCTCATTGTGTTTCCTGTCATGCAGGTGCAGGTCTCAGTGGGCGACAAACGCACCGCACTCAGGGTGTTTTCAACCACACTGAGGACTATGTGCTGCTGCCAGACGAGCGAACCATCAGCTTGTGCTGCTGGGATTCACGCACAGCTGAGAGGAAGAACCTGCTCTCATTAATTTTTTATATGTTATAAAAAAAAATGTGCAATTAGTAGTTAATATTATCTTGGAACTTCCATTGGTCAATTTGGGGTGAATAAATCAAAACCTTGACATATATATCATCACGCCACCTGTCCAGTGTTTTAAACTGCGGCTCACGCACGCTGCTGCCTGCTCACCCTCATTGTGTTTCCTGTCATGCAGGTGCAGGTCTCAGTGGGCGACAAACGCACCGCACTCAGGGTGTTTTCAACCACACTGAGGACTATGTGCTGCTGCCAGACGAGCGAACCATCAGCTTGTGCTGCTGGGATTCACGCACAGCTGAGAGGAAGAACCTGCTCTCATTAGGCCACAATAACATTGTGCGCTGTATCGTACACTCACCCACCAACCCTGGCTTCATGACCTGCAGTGATGACTTCAGAGCACGATTCTGGTATCGCCGCACCACCACTGACTGACACATTTACGTGCTTTAAATCCAAAAGGGTCTGAGTTTCTTTTATCAGCAGGTCCCAAACACAGAAATGTCCACACTGTGTATGACTTCACAGGCTTGTTTGCCAAGGCTCCATATCATTTAACACACAAAAGCATTTTTAAAAGCATCAGAGAGCTTATGACTGCGGTACCTTTGTATTACTGTCGGGTGGTGCTGTTTTACAACCATCTGAGATCCATCGTTTTCAGATTTTTAGAACTTTACTACCATTTAGTAACATCAGAACTATCAGCCGTAAAGTTGCATTGAAGCTAGAGACAGAAAAACATTTTTTGGTTTATTTGTGTATCTGACAACAAGTAGTTGAGTATTATTCTGTCATGGCAAGTGCCTAGAATGCCGTCTTTTCAGTTTTGATTTGTGTTCTGTGCTCTTTGTTTTATATTAAAAGACTCTGGGAGAATTGTTTCTTGTCCCATTCCATTTTTTTTTTACACATCTGAAGTGTTTTTGAATGGCATAGAATCATTGAACTGTAGTTGTTAGTGGAGTTTGCTGTTGCTCAAACTCCTAACCCTAACTCCTAATCCATTCAACTTTGTGTATCTAAACCATTTGACCATGAGAAAATTCTGAGTAAAAAAAACCCACTAGACTTTTCCTGCGTTTAAAAGTTTGGGGTCAGTAAGATTTTTTTTTTTTATGCTTTTAAAGTTGTGCTTATTTTAAATACTACACTGAACAAAATTATAAACACAACACTTTTGTTTTTGCCCCCATTTTTCATGAGCTGAACTCAAGTTTTGAGGGAGTGTGCAATTGGCATGCTGACTGCAGGAATGTCCACCAGAGCTGTTGCCCGTGAATTGAATGTTCATTTCTCTACCATAAGCCGTCTCCAAAGGCGTTTCAGAGAATTTGGCAGTACATCCAACCGGCCTCACAACCGCAGACCACGTGTAACCACACCAGCCCAGGACCTCCACATCCAGCATCTTCACCTCCAACATCGCCTGAGACCAGTCACCCGGACAGCTGTTGCAACAATCAGTTTGCATAACCAAAGAATTTCTGCACAAACTGTCAGAAACCGTATTTTATTGATGGCATTTTGAATGCACAGAGATACCGTGACGAGATCCTGAGGCCCATTGTTGTGCCATTCATCCACGACCATCACCTCATGTTGCAGCATGATAATGCACGGCCCCATGTTGCAAGGATCTGTACACAATTCCTGGAAGCTGAAAACATCCCAGTTCTTGCATGGCCAGCATACTCACCGGACATGTCACCTATTGAGCATGTTTGGGATGCTCTGGATTGGCGTATACGACAGCGTGTTCCAGTTCCTGCCAATATCCAGCAACTTCGCACAGCCATTGAAGAGGAGTGGACCAACATTCCACAGGCCACGATCAACAACCTGATCAAGTCTATGCGAAGGAGATGTGTTGCACTGCGTGAGGCAAATGGTGGTCACACCAGATACTGACTGGTTTTCGGACCCCCCATACAGTAAAACGGCACATTTTAGTGTGGCCTTTTATTGTGGCCAGCCTAAGGCACACCTGTGCAATAATCATGCTGTCTAATCAGCATCTTGATATGCCACACCTGTGAGGTGGATGGATTATCTCGGCAAAGGAGAAGTGCTCACTAACACAGATTTAGACAGATTTGTGAACAATATTTGAGAGAAATAGGCCTTTTGTGTACATAGAAAAAGTCTTAGAGATGTTTGAGTTCAGTTCATGAAAAATGGGGGCAAAAACAAAAGTGTTGTGTTTATAATTTTGTTCAGTGTATTAGTATTTAAAAAATGTTTTTCATTTTAATTTCTTTAAAAAGTATTCTTGTGATCCTTATTATCAATGCTGAAAAGAGTTATGCAGAACAACAACATTTCAGAAGAACAGCATCTATTTAAAATATTTAGTATGTAAATGTCTTTTAGTAAATGTCTTTACTGTCACTTTTGATCAATTTAATGCATCCTTGGTGAATAAAAGTATTATTTCTTTAAAAAAATGCTATAGAGACTTCAGAGTGGGCTTTTTGACTACCCACAATGCCTATGCATCTAGGTGGTATGACATCAAAATAATTAGCAGTTTTTCCTTTCTCAAATCTTTTTCAAACATCTATTTGCAGTTTGTTTGGTTTGCTCAGTTTTGCAGAATGCAGGCTAGATGGTTGTTTCTTTTTATATATATATATATATATATATATATATATACACTCACATTTATAAATTCAATATATATATTATTTCATTTCCATTTAGTTTGTTGAAGTATTAAAATAACTCAAATTAAATAAAACTAAAA